AAGTACCTGATCAGGAAACACTTGGAGAACAATGCATCTTGGAATGCTCCAATCCACATAAGAAGTCTTCCTGGAGACATGCAAGATACCATGTGGACAATGGCTTCGGCCTGTAAAGACTGAGTCATGCAGGGACATGTGACTTGCCCAGGTGACTCCAGAACTCCATCTTGGAGCTGGACTTTGCATAGGAGGGAGGAGGGGGGTCTCCACCCACAAGAGAGAGTCTATTTAAACCCATGTGAGACCCCTCCATTTTGTCTTCAGCTGGCTAAGGAAGGAGCCTCTCCACCCCCCCCCAGGATACTTGAAGGGAACTGGAACAAGCGACAGTAACTATAGGGGGTGTGAGTGATTGCTGGACCCAGGCTAAAAGGAGATTAGCCTGTAAAAGGGAGCATTCTGGAACTGGTGAGGAACTTATCTGTATTTAGTTTGATTAGACATAGATTTGCGCGTTTTATTTTATTTTACTTGGTGACTTACTTTGTTCTGTCTGTTACTACTTGGAACCACTTGAATACTACTGTCTGGATTTAATAAATTCACTTTTTATTTAGTAACTTACTCAGAGTATGTATTAATACCTGGGGGAGCAAACAACTGTGCATATCTCTCTATCAGTGTTATAGAGGGCGAACAATTTATGAGTTTACTCTGCATAAGCTTTATGCAGGGTAAAACGGATTTATTTGGGTTTAGACCCCATTGGGAGTTGGGCATCTGAGTGCCAAAGACAAGCACACTTCTGTGAGCTGTTTTCAGGTAAACTTGCAGCTCTGGGACAAGTGATTCAGACCCTGGGTCTGTGTTGGAGCAGACGGGAGTGTCTGGCTCAGCAAGACAGGGTGCTGGAGTCCTGAGCTGGCAGGGAAAATAGGAGCAGGGGTAGTCTTTGCACATCGGGTGGCAGCTCCCAAGGGGGTTTCTGTGATCCAACCCGTCACAACTCTCTCTACCTCTTCACTTGATTGCAGGTGAAGAAAAAGCAGAAGGAGCAGGTAAGTATTGAAGGGAGATACTATTTTTGTGCATGTGTTCCTGATAACAGTAATAATTAAAAAAAAAAACTACTGGAAAAAAAAGTAGATATAGAAAATCGCAGCTGGGCTATTGCTAAACAGAATACATTTCCAATATTGCCAACAGGCCCAGGGTCTTAGAGCTCACCTACACTGCATCTCACCTTTTAAAATTAGTCAGTTCCAGCACTGACCTGAAAACCAGGACTCCTTAGTGCTGCTACCAGTTCTGACACCAGATACATGTCTGATCTTGGGCAAGCCACAAATTCTAAATTCCTTTACTTTCCCCATTTGTAAAATGGGGGTAATACCATCACCTTTTAAAAACACCCTGAAATCCTCAATTGCAAAGCTCAATATACAAGTTCGAATTGTTATTCAGTGTTGTTAACTCCTGCAATTTTCTCGTGTGGTAGTTGGTGGTTTTCTCAAAGCCCCAGCTCCTGGATTCTTCTGATAATGAGAGAACTACAACTGTCACCTTATTTTAATATAGCATGTTTCTAACCCTCATAGGTAGGGGGAAGAGCTTGAGAACATGACCGCAGTGAACCACAGAGGCTCAGAAACCAGTAGACAAATAAAATGAACCCAAAACGTTTTGTGATTTTTGTTTGTTTGTATTTGACTTCAGGATTTTTAAGCCAATCTCATTATGTTTGAGGCCCAACTCATTATTTTTGAGCACATAGGGCTGGCAAGTTATTAACCAACTCAACAAATACTTCACTCTGTGAAAGACAATGGCTATCCATAACTTGACGTTTTATGCATAACTTAAAAATATATATTTTTTATTTACAGTTCTGCTCACTACGCGCTAGACATTATCCAAACACGCAAGAAAAAGCTCACAATCTATGTATATTATCTATTAAATTTGCGCCAGTGTACAACTGAGCGATAAGCTATACTGGATGGGGGCATCAGAAATTCCAACTGCAGAAGAAATTAGAGCAATAATTTTATCAAGTGTTTCCCAAATTGGGAAAACCAAATCCTAAGGGCCTCTTCACTTTCAAGACTGCATCTTGAGAGAATTCCTGCTTCCTTTCCTCTCCCTGGTGCATCTCTGTGCAGCATACAACATGGAGCGGTGCAGATTACGTACTTTGATTTGTGGTTTTGCCCACTAAAACAGAAAGTAGGTATTTTAGCTGTGAGGGCAGAGACGTTGGAAAATACTACATGGTAATAAGAACAGCAAGCAAAACAATGCAGATTCCTGCATTAGAAGCCCTGAATGTTGCATGCACTGCACACATCCCATATTGCACAAAATCACCAGGTGGAAATAAAAAGACCAGAGAAGGTGCCTGGCTCATTAAAAACTCTCCTTCTCCCCTTCCTCTCCTTCATGCTCAAGCAGTTACACTTCCCCTTTCTCCCACAGCCTCTCCCATCCCAAACTTGGAAACATTAACCACCAAAGTGAGCAGTCTTCACATGATCAAACAGACAGCTGAAATCTAACTGAAGAATTTTCGTTCTGCTTCCTATTCATACCTGATTATCATCTACTTTGACACAGCTCAGGCTGCAGAGGGGAAAACAGTATGCCGAAAAAATACTAATTATGGGCCTAATTCTGCAGCACTCGTTCACAAGTGCAGTCCCACTGCGGGCAACAGAAGTAGTCCCCCATGCAAGAGCTGATGGATCAGGCCCTAAATGGGGCTGGAACTTGAATTATTCATCATGAACACTGAAGTGCAACAGGCAGATACTAGGGAGAGAATCAGGCCTGTGAAGCTTCACATTTATCTTGCTCATATTAAATTATTTTTAAAATTTCTAAAAGTGCCAAGTAATAACATGGATGTGTCATCCTGAATCCCTGGCTGGCCTGATATTTCCATGAATCCAATATCATTATGAACATATATATGTTCCCAAACTACCACCACCCAGAAGCAGGTGAGGCAGAGCAGACAGTTTGCATTTGGTGGGTTAAACTTACCACACCAACCATTCTTTTCCCAGACTCAAAAGAGTGAATCATGAGAATGCTGTGAATTCCCTAGTGTTTATCTTGCTCAACCAGTTTTCATTTAACTGGGTTGTTAGGTCACCCTCAAATTCCACTGAACAATGAGGGGGGAAAACCCTCAGAAATGGGTGTGGTTTCAACAGCAGAAAGAAAGGTCTTTATTTCCTTTATGTGCAGTTAAAAAAAATTATTTATCAGGATTCATTTGGGTTTTCAAATATAAACAGCCCCAGTGCATGGACAAGAGAGAATTTTGAAGATTTTTAGCATTCCAGACGAGGCTGCAAAGCCATTCATTGTCCTTCCCTGACTCTCAGAAAGTGTCCCCCTTTTAAAAGTTGTGTACTTTTAAAATGCTCAGTCCATTACCCAGCTGCACCTTTAGCAGCACAGAAGGTTTATTGTTTTAATGACAGTATGTTTAAGGAGGGAGGGGGGATGGGTTTTGCTATGCTGCTCTGTAATTTATGGATTAGGAGTTAACATTTTAGTCTTCTAATTGTTCCACCATTTCAGCAGTTGCTTCCAAAGGAAACCTCTGCCCTGTGCATCTATGCAGGTTAAAAAATAACCTTGGTGGATTCACAGTGCTTTGAAGACAAATTTAAGTTGCTTCCCAATACCTGAAAACTTGCCAGCTGAATCTCCTTCTCTCTGAATCCATTCTAGTGGCCAGGATCCAGCCAATACAGACAAATAGGCTGTTGGTGTGGTTTCAAATGCCTCTCTTTGTACACAGAAAATAGGCTAAGTCTCTGATACAAACAATATTCCCAGTGAGGGATAATCGTTAAGGGTCTCTTGCCCTTTTCAGCTTGCATTGCAATTTGTGGCCTTGCCTATGGATTTTGTGAACCATTTGCAACCAACTTCTGCAGTCATTAGTCACATTGGAAAAAAAAAAAACAAAAAAAAAACCCTCCTCCTTTCCTGGCTTATTTATTATTTATGTAGACAGATCAAAGGGCCTTCTCACCAGGCCCCTTTGCTGCAGAAAGCATTCTGGATCATAAACAATGGCGAATGAAGTCTGAAAATAGCTTCCAATAGGGCTGGAAAGGATCCACATAGATTCAGATTCTCCAGAGCTCTGAATCTATTCCAAAAACATTGGCTCTCCTCTTCCTCCCACCCCACTCTTTAGACACAAATACACACAGCCTCCCCCGCCTACTTTTGTAATACTTCACTGACCTCATGTTTCTGCTTTAGAGCATTTTCCAGCCACAAAACAAGGCAGAAATTATTACACTGATGCCCACTAGCTTGAAACATTTTAAGTGGGTTTCCACTTGGATTAAGAGAGAAATCTGATCCACCTGGGGCTGGGTCGTAAAGTTAGGTAGGACAAAAGAAAATGTAGGTTAGAGCCAGGTTGCATTCCAGTTTAATAAACTTGATCTGCTTCACCCACCCAGGATTCAGTATTGACCCCAGATCAGATCCAACTCCTGAACTAGAGCAAACTAGAACCGGTCAGGATCTCAATTAATTCAGGGGGAAAATAATGGCTGCTAAACAAACAAGTCTAGGATGGTGCACTTTCCCCTTTCCTAAGTGATCTCATATAAAAACATTTAGGTGTGGTTTATACCCTAATAATCTATTGTCCTGGCAGATCCAGTTAAAGCCTGGCTTAGCCTTGCAGCAAGAGACTGCATGTTTCAACAGTGAATCATGCTACAGCTTTGGCTTTTTAGCAGAGCCGTTGCATGGCTCAGGAACCTGGATAAAACTCAGTATGGATCCATCTATGCTGCAAGGTCAAACTTTATTTTAAACAGCATTAGGCCACTACGGCAAGGAATTTGGCCCCTAACACCTGGGATACAGTCCTACCATACTATAGCCTAACACAACAGAGACGGGATCTTTGTTCAAACACAACCGGCATTCGGAGGCTGAGTTTTGCCCCTTCTTTGCTTCTTACAAAGATAAAAACCACCGAGTTGGGAAGGTGACTAAGCAGTTAAGGGGCTGCTTACCTGATTGATCCATACTCAGGAGGATGCTGATATCTCATCATAGGCCCATCAGATCTACTCTGCTGGCTCATGCGATGATCACCATAGAAATGTCCAGGGTCCTGAGGTTTGCAGTTCATGGGTGGGGTGGACATGTTTTTGTAAGGGTACTCTGGTGGAGGGCCCCGGTGCTCTATCACTTTCATATTCGGCTGGGGAGGCGTGGGCACTGAGTTTTTATAGAAATCATTGGAACCGGAGTTTTTGTACAGGTCATTTGGCTGCTGGGGGGAAAGTGGAGCACTCGTGACAGGTGCGTGGGCCTTGACACCACTGGTGGCCAACGACAGCTGCATCAGCCTCTCACTAAGAGAGCGAACGTGTCCTTGCTTGAGGTCCTTAAGTCCTTCATCCTGATGGACTTTCCCAGGGTTCACTCGCTGAACCGTAGGCCGCCCTTCAGTCCTCATCTTTTGATTGGTTACCCCCGTCACATAAAACGCTGCCCCAACGCTAGCATGCGGCTGGCCCCTGAAATACTGCGACTGGACTTTGGCTTCTTCGTATGTTGGGAGGTCTTCACTGTTCTGAAGTCTTGGAGAGAGCTGCTTCTCCATGATGCTATTGTCCACCTGAATCTCCTGGCCCTGGGGCTCTTGGCGGGCAGCATGAGTCACAAGCTGATGGTCCTGGGTGCTCAGCCCTTCGTTCTGAGACCCTGGACTCCCATTGCTGTTGAAAGGGGGTGCATTTCCTGTGGCTTGTTGATGTAAGGCAAGGAGGTTGCGGTTGTCATTTGGGTTTCCGTATCGGAGCTGCTCCTGCAGCAGACGCTGTAAAACTGTCGTAGCTGTTTGCTCTTCTGAATTCCTCATCTCAAACTGTGGTGCCTTTGGGGTGGAATGCAAAAGCTGCCCTTGACCTAAGGAGAGGAGACATGGTTAGCAACTCTTCACTGCCTCACAGAAGGGACGGTTTAGGAGCAATGGCTTGAAACTGAAGAAAAATATAAGTTAGATATAAAGGATTTTCATAACAATGAGGGTCATTAAGACCGTCAGACACTGGAAGGACCTGCCTAATAAGGTGGCGAAGACTCCATTGACTGCAGGCGGCAGGGCTATGGACGAAATGCCCCAAACAGGAAGGCTGAGCATTGGCAAAAAGGAGACCTATAATTCACAACATGGTGGTAAAAATGACTGAGCCCTGTCTACATTGTACCCATTCCTGCCAATGGTGAATTCTGGTTCCCATTTTTGCCACATAAACAAGGACCAAGAAGAGAATAGGGAACTCAGTACGTAATCTGTTAAATTTAAGAAGAAAACAAGAGATACATCAAATAAGTTATATGCTTAGAGTGAAAAAGGAGAATCCCCATCACTTGGGTCATTTAAAGTAAACTAATGAACACCTGACTAGACGGTTATTTTTTAGAGTAGCTGTAGCTTTGGGGGCAGATTTTTAAAGCCCAGTCTCCCTTTTGCACCCACTACTATATACTGGTTTAAGTGATGTCATTTAGACATCTAACTTCCTGACACACAGGCATAATAAAGTAGTTAGATGTCTAAATGACATCAGTTGCAACCATACAACTACAGGGGGAGGGAGGGCGCTCTGGAGAGGAGGAGGAGTCATCAGATTGAGGCCCACAAAATCCAGACTCTGAGTTCGAGTCTGAGTTTGAAAGGAAAAGCATTGTGAACCTCATTTAAGAAGCTCATAGATTAATGTTGAGTACATAACTAAGGCCTTGTCTACACTAAAGGGAAAAGTCGATCTAAGCTACGCAATTTGAGTCACATGAATAGCGTAACTCAAATCGACGTAGCTTAGATCTACGTACCGTGGGGTCCACACTACGCGACATTGACAGGAGACGCTCTCCCGTCAACTCCCCTTACTCTTCTCGATCAGCTGGAGTACAGGAGTGGAAGGGGGAGCGATCAGCAGTAGATTTAGCAAGTCTTCACTAGACCCACTAAATTGACCGCTGATGGATCGATGTAGACAAGCCCTAAGTAAGGGCTTGATGATCAGTGAGCCAATGTGGTCAGACAGGGGACTAAGCCATTGAATCGCCCATTAGAGTTGCAAGTACTCAGCACTTTTGAAAACCAGGCCCAACACATCCCTTATTGGGCATGCAATGCAAAATGACCTAAAATCCAGGGTCATTTTTGAAAGTGTGAGCAAAAATAGCTTGCCCCAAGTGACAGTCTGTGGCAGAGCCAGGGATAGAATCCAGGTCTCCTGACTCTTCTGAAGTCTTCTTCATTACGTGTCTTAACTACATGTCCATCCAGCCTTCTCTACTCTGTCATGACAGCTTACAGTGTAGATATATCAGGCACAAACTACTGCCTATGATGTACTGTCAGGAGAGAAGGCTCTTCTCCAGAGTCTACTAGAGAAAAAATTAGAACATGCCCTATTCCATAAAGCCTTTTCAACAATCTGGGAATTCAGATACTGACACACGCACTGGAATTTTACTTCTTTGAAATCATATCTACTCTGGCATGTACCTTATTTCCGTCACTTTGACTTCCTCAGTCAGGAGGAGCAGTTCTGATACATGAGGGGACACCTGGCCTTCCGCCTGCAAGTCCAAAATCTCCACTCAGAAATGGTTTTGGTCCCTTCAGTAATTGGGATCACTTGATGCTCTCTTCACTCCCCAAAAAATTCTGAAAAAGAGAGAACATTTTAACCAGCAGTTAGGAGGACAGCAGGAGTTACAAAAGTTGGTCAATATTTCATGCTCCCCAACCCTTCACCTACTCCCCACTTTTCCCAAACCTAAGGATTTCAGTCCCTATGAGATGAACAAATCCTGCTGCACAACATCCAACTCCACGCACTTCTTAATCATTACAGTTTTCTGCCTTGAGAACGACTGTCGCCCTCATGCTCTGTCCTATTTGTGCCTCCAAGAGAAACAGTGATAAAAACTCCCTAATTCTTTAAATCCATTGGTTTCCTTTTTGGTAGGAATGAAAGCTGCACTGCTGAAGATGCCCTGACGGCTGCCTTTCAATGATACTGTATATATACACACATCAATAATAAATATAGTACCTTCCATCAGAAGATCTCAAAGCACTTTACAAACATTAATAAATTAGTCATCATAACATCCCTGTGGGGCAAGTAAGAATTATCCCAATATTTAGATAGGGAAAATGAGGAACAGTTGCCACAGGTCTCGCAGAAGTATATGGCAGAGCCCAGATCTACCTCCCAAATCCTGTTCTTTAGCATCATCCTTTGCCCTTTAGGATGAAAAGCACTACAGCAATTTAAAATAATATTTTAATATCTTTGAAACTAGAGGGAGACAAAAATCAGATCAAACTTCTACATCTATATAAAAATCCCCCTATATATAAACAAATTCTTAGGTGTGTTCTTGACTCTCTCAAATAGATATGTTAAATCGACTACTAAACTAGGTTCTCTGAAGAGGGAGTGAATCATGCAAAGGAAGTGGAACCTACTAATATATACAGCACTTACGTATTTTAAGAACAGACAATTATAACAAAAGAAAATAAAGCAAGCAAAAAAAAAATTAGTCACTGAGGTGTATAATTTAACATGATTTCCTGGAATGCTGCAAAAAATAAAGTCAACAGATGCAGTGAAGGAATGCAGACATGAATGCTTCTGTCTCAGTCTTATTACAGCACACATCCACACCCAAAGAAATGATCTCAGGTCTGCAAGTTAACTACTTAGGATGTCATCAGCAATTTCAATACACATGAACAATATCTAACTATGGAACAAGCCTGTGTTGTGTGGTGTGCTACATGCAAGATGGTGGCTAAGAACTAACACCTAATGTCAAATTCTTAACAAGTGACTTAACTTGAGAGGGATATATTGAAAACAGCTGCCAAAAATATGCAGCAAGAGATCCTTTAAACCCAGGCTTTAAGATACCAGATAACTAGAGTAATTTCCAGCCTCTTTTCCCAGTATTACACAACTTAAGTTCAAGGATCCTTAGTACCACTCGTACCAATATAATTGTTTATTTACTTTTTACAAAGTTGCCCAAAGCAACCTTTTTTATGAGAGCACAAAAACGCTTTTATCATGTAATATGATGTTGTCTTTCCACTCAACTACAGTACTTCTTTGGTGTCAAGTGGGCAAATGTGGATTGTATCTTCCTGTTAAAATGCAGTCATTTGAGGGAGAATTCCATAAATCCTGCTTCTCAGTTTAAAAGATATCTCAACAGAACAATTCAATATTAGAGTCTAACACCCTCTAATATTCCTGAAACATTAAAGAAGCGCTAAGTATCACTGCAGTTATTTCACACATACACTTTTACATCAACACAGCACTAACTTCTTGCATTAATCCAATAGAAGAAACAAGACCACATTCCACTGCAAAAAAACTACCAGTTGTGATTAAGGAACACTAAATAATCCACCTGTACTTTCGGCCCAAATTAGGAACCATCCATGGAAAACTGAGACAAGAGGCGAATCCAGTTATACTATGGGAATGCTCTAGCCAATGGATCCTGCTTTCTTGAAACTCCAGCTGTTAGCAATGTGATTGCTAACCCAACTTTGTTAGCTACACCTTATTTAATTATCACTCACAAAGAGGGCCTTGTGCAACTTGCTTCTGTGGCAAGATCCTTGTATTCTGCAGCGCTCTTGTGCAGAATGCTGGAAATTCTATGGCGGATCCATTTAAATGGAGGTTTTAATGTAATTAAACATGAAAATGATCCATATAATCAGTACTGCAGCTTATGTGTTATTTATTTGGATACCAAGTTCTATTTATACTCTCCCAATATTTTCAGTTTTCAATGTGCCAAAGGTTTCTCCACTGTAAACACAGAAGTACATTGCAAGTTGTCAAGGGGAGGCTGGAGGTTTTGGCACCTGGAAAGGCATGGGAGGCTGGAGGCTGGGCATAATCACATTGTATGGTACCTATGCCAAAATGATTGGCAGTGAACTAGTTCATGCTGCCATTTAAATGGTCAACTTTAGGTTTCAGGCTTAACCATTAAGATGAATGGGGCCACTCAGCCCTACTGTTTCAGACAACCTGCAAAGTCATTTTCTTCCCAACCATAAAGGCTAGAAACACTTTTTACAAAGAAAGATTCAATTCTAGAGTACAATTCTGCTGCAAGGGGCCAATCAGAGGTGAACTTCACAGACTGCATCTATGCTGACAATTTTTAACAGTTCTCTCACCATTAGTGAAAGACCTAGTGTAGGAATTTAAACACCATGGTGACAGCTAACCATGCTCAGACACGCATTCGTGATAAAGCAACAGTGGGGGGAAAATATTAAAAATTCTCAATGAAGACAAAGCCCATGTGTGCCTGGCACTTTGCAGACACACAAAAACAAAGACCTCCGCCTCAAAGACCAAACAATTATACCATAGGAGTCCCTTGTCACTCACTCATTTCACTCAGATTTAGTGAAGAATTTAAAATGATCACATGGGTTGGCTATCAGGAAACATAGCAGTACTGTTCATTTCTGTGCATCACACACATTTGCTTGCATTATGAAAATATACTGACAAATGAAATACTCACCACTCTTGATGAGTGACTACAATGATATAGGAGTAAGGTGCCACAAGTACTCCTGTTCTTTTTGCGGATACAGACTAACACGGCTGCTATTCTGATACAATGATATAGTTACTTATTACTCTGCGTGGAGTGACTGCAGCAGTAAGAAGAACACAGGTGAAAGGACACATCTCTTTTCTGCTTGCGAAAGTAAGTGGAATGTAAGATTCCCGGTGAATGCAGCCTGTACACACTTGCCCTGAATTACTGCTTAGCCAAGAAGCTAATTAGCTAACACATCAGGTGGGATAAGAACAGGTTCACCTCCTCCTCCTCAGAAGGGCTGAAGTACAGTTAAGCACATTCAGTTTTAATACTCAATCCTGTACCATCCATACAAATAAAATATAATCCAATGGCTTTATGGACTCACAAGCTCCACAGTGGAGAATAACAGCATTCCCAAGTAGCCTAATGGCTTTGCTGGCTGGTGCTATGGTCTATTTCTTTAGCAATGTAGATATGATCCAGACCCTCCCCCAGGCTGGCAGGAGCAGATACAGCTTGGCTCTCTGTCAAACACACTTTAATAGGCAGCTGAAAAGTTCTGCGGCATCAGAGGTCTTTGCTTGCCCTTGTCGGGCTCCAGGAAAATGGTGAGGAGATGCTTAGTGTGAAGGTGACGGTCTTGGACTGTGTCAGAAATTAAAAGGTATCGCTAGAAGTGCTTAGATAAAGGGGGGGGCCATGAAGCATAATAGATACCTTAGACAGGGCTGGGTAAAAGCACAGAGGCTATCTCACATTCTGAGTGATCTGTAGCGAAGAAAGCAAGCTTCCCCTTACCATACAGCCTAGACATGGCCCCAATCCTGCAATCGCTTATTCACATGAGTAGCCTTTACAATCTTCAGGCCACCTGGAAATGCAGTTACTGCGCACGCGTACACACACAAACACACCCTTTGAAGTGGCTGGAAATGTTGGGTTCATGAGGGTGAGGACATAGAGTCATTTAATGACTGATGCACGTCAGGGTGCAAGAACAGGGGGGCCCATGGCACCCCACTTTTTAACATGGGCATAGTTTGGGGGTAGGGAGATTCGTTGTCCCCCCCCCCCAACTGTAAGCCTTGGGCAGGTGGAGGAGCAGATCAGGTCCCCTGCCGCAAAGCGCAGTGCCTGCCCACAGTGCCAGCCTCTTCCCGGTGCGGGCCCCTCTCAGTGGCCCCACTCCTGCTCCTCTTAGCCCCAAGGCCCCACCCACTGGCCAGGCCAGAAGCCAGGCCAGGGAGCCGAGGATGCTGTGGGGAGCCCTGGACCCTCCACCTGTCCTGGGCGGCGCACTCCGGGTCCAGGTGGCAGGGACAAGGGCTGGGGGTTGCTCTCGGGCCCCCGGCCCAGGACAGTTGGAGGGTCCCCAAGTTTACCACCACCTGGCTCCAGCTTTTTTCAGCCTGGCCAGAGGGCAGGGCTTCCGGGAGAAGAGGAGGAGCAGGAAATGGGACCATGGAGAAGGCAGGGCCACAGGGCGGGGCCTCGAGCCTCCCACCCCCCACTTCTACCAAGGTTCCAGCGCTCCTGATGCAGTTTATAACTAAGCATTCTTAACTGTACCCCAACCCTTTCCAAGGAGGAGAGAGGAGAATATATGGAAGGATTGCCCTTGAGAATAAAGGTTTTAGAAGTGTGCATGCCCTCTGTTTCAAATACCCAAAACCCCAGGGGCATACACGCACAAGTCCCCAGAGTTCTGATAATATTTTACCATCTGCGTCTGTTCCCAATTAAATTTCAAAGTACAGAGCCCACAGGTAAATGCCATCAAAGCAAATCTGTTGCCTAATATGTGCTTCCCTAGCTTAGATTCAATTATCCCTTTCTCAGTTACTTGTGTTTGCTGACTGTGTCTCAGGTGATCTTGCAGGTGTGGCACCCAGCAGGTGCATGTATCAGTGCCAGCATTACACATCTTCATACCAAAGGGACAGAGTCATCACATGAAAGAGAAAAACTTCCTCCTTTTAGCTAAAACCAAGAAGTAGTGCCACTTGGAATCATGCAAATTACACACATGCTTTTAGCATTAGATCATCAGGCACTCTACTGCAGTGA